TAGAAAAAGGGGCAAAGGCAATGAATAAACAGTTCATAGAAAAGGAACTACAAATGCTCAACTCAGGGTAAGAGAAATTAATTTTAAATTGATTAGTCCAGTGATTTTCATACCTATTTTTTTGTCATATCGGCAAAAAATTTATTTTTTTGGTGTGCCACGGAAATTTAGTAATTACCTTATGTGTGCCATAAAACAAAAAGGTTGAAAATCTCTGATGTAGTCTATTAAATTGGCAAAGATCTTGATGTTCGTTACTACTTTATGGTGACAAGGTTTTGGGGGAAACTGACAAGCTCAAACATTGTTGGTAGGGGTGTGAAATGGTCCAGCATCTGTGTAGCAATTTGGAAATATTGCCAAAATTAAAAATTTACCTACCTTCTCATCTCAGGAAACCTAAGAAGTTGTTCTACAGATATACTTGTACATCACAGAATGAATTTGCACAAAGACATCCATTGCAGCATTGTCTGTAAACAAAAGATTTAGAGAGAGCTAAATATCCATCAATATGGGATCACTTAAATAAATTATGAGGAGAAACAAAGCTAGGTAGCTGTTGAAAGGAATGAGGTCATTCTGTATTTGCTGATATGAAATGATCTCTAAGATACAAGGAAACAAGTCAAGTTGCAGGGTAGTGTATAGCCCTTGGGGTTTAATAGGAGTTTGTAGATATGTGCTTATGCTTGTAACTGTTAAGACTGTCTCTGGAAGGTGACCCAAGAAACTGATAATAGTGATTGCCTCTGGGGAAGAGAACTGGGTGGTTGGGGTGGGGGTGGGAAGGACACTTATTTCATACACCCTTTACCGCTGTTTGAATTTTTAAATATGTGAACTTATCTATTCAAATCAAGATAGCTTTTAAATTTCTTGAGGCTCACTTGTACTGTTCAAGAATGTTGAGTAGTTGTAACCCACAGCATCCCTTTGCAATGTTAGATCCATGGTAGTTGCCATAAAGACTCACCCTCACTGTCCAGTGGTGTGGCTTAGTGGTTGAGCATTGACCCTTGAACCAGGAGGTCACAGTTTGATTCTGGGTTGCAGGCTTGATCCCTGGTAGGGGGCAAGCAGGAAGCAGCGGATTGATGATTCTCTCACATCTCTGATGTTTCTAACTCTCTCTCCCTCTCCCTTCCTCTCTGAAATCAATTAAAAAAAAAAAAAAAAAAAAAAGACTCACCCTCACTACTACCCTGACAGGCTAAAGTTCAAGGAGGAGGGAAAATGGAAGCGGTTGCCCTTTGGGACAGGTTGGCACACCTTGGTTCCCTGTAATTGCCCTGCCCTTGCCACTGTGACCCCACCTAGCTGATTTTACAAGGGGCATTCTTTAGGACCTACCTGGGTGATGATGAGCGTTCATGGAGAACAGACTTCGAAGAAGGTGGTGGCAGAAGCCTAGACTGGGAGAACACAGAAATGGAGATGGTTTTGATTGCTACTCCAACTCCATCAGATGCAGCTTACAGTGATAAAATAGAGAAAACTGTTATTTTATGGGCCATGGCCTTGAGATTCTCTGCTACCCCTGAGTTTTGGTACGATGTCTAGGAATCTGCATTTTTAAAAGGTGGCCTTGGACCCTAGCTGGTTTGGCTCAGTGGATAGAGGGCCAGCTTGTGGACTGAAGGGTCCTGGTTCGATTCTGGTCAAGGGCATGTACCTTGCATGTGGTTAGGGCATGTGGAGAGGCAACCAGTCGGTCTCTCACATGGAAAAATATCTTCGGGTGAGGATTAACAACAACAACTAATGTGGCCTTGGTTTTGGGAGTTCATTCTGGGAATAATTGATCTCTTCTGCTTTTCTTCGTTTATTGATGAGAGTATCCCCCTTCATCCCTTAAAGTAACCATTTCCTGGAATAACTTTTATGGTATTATACTCTTAAACACATGCTTTCGTAAGAGTGATTGTTTCATTGTGCCTTTGTCCTCCTAGAGCCCACAAAGTGGTACCAAATATTAAGGTATAGAATAGTGAGACAACTCTGGCCAGGTAACTCAGTTGGTTAGATATGCCAAGGTTATTGGTTCAATCTCTGGGTCAGGGCACATACACGAAGCAACCAATGAATGCATAAAGAAGTGGAAAAACAAATCAGTGTTTCTCTCTCTTCCTCTCTCTTTATAAAATAAATTTCTAAAAAAAAAAAAAGGAATAGTAAAACAGAGAAAGCCAAGGTAGCAGCTTAATATTTGGTAGGTGATATCTTTGGGAAAAAGAAGTATTTGCTGATATAAATTTAATAAGCATGAGTTACATGAATTATACTGAAGAAAAGGAAAAACTTGGTGACAGTCGGAGGTATCATGCTGCAAAATAATTTTCCTAAAAGGAAATAAAAATAGTTTAATTATCATTAATACACATTTATGCAAAGTTAACAGACATAGCCCTTTATTAGGAATTGGTAATTTTAAATAAAAAATAGCTAAGTATACAGGAGGAAATGTTATATCAGTCTCTTTTTATTAACTTCTAGGCATGAAGTCAGGGTTAAATGTGTATCCTAATAAATGAATCAAGTAAATACTATGCATTCCTTTCCTTTGTGGAAGTTCTGATAATTTAGTGGCTGTTTTTTTTTTCAAACCATTTCATTTGGAAATTAGGAGGGATAGGCAGCAGCCTTGTAGTGGCGTTCCACCGGAGCGTCAGGTGCCAGAGCAGGGTGATGTGGAGAGCGAAAGTTGATGGATGGGGAAAGGTCAGAGAGGCTCGCTGTCACAGGGGAGGAAGCACTGGATGACCTTCGGGAGCGTGGCATTGTGCAGGACCTGTGGAAGTGTCTAGAAAACCCTTCCCATAACTTTCCGGGGCTATTAAAATTTCAGGATGCATTTGATCCTTAACTAGTATATCTAGTGTGTCTAATTTCTAGGGAATTTGGGAGGAATTTAACTGCATTTTTAAAAGAGATTTAGTAGCATATATTAAATACATTGGGGTAACAGTATTGTGCCCAACTGCTTCTTCTTGCCACACATTTAACGTCTTGTTAACTGCATTTCTTTAAGAGCTTCAGCATATATTAAATACATTGGGGTAACAGTATGGTGCCCAACTGCTTCTTCTTGCCACACATTTAACGTCTTCCCCCCCGCCATACATCCCTCTGTGAAAATAGCTACTATCTCATGGCACTTTGTATCGCAGTACACGGTGTTCCAGAGAAGCAGTATATATTTGACAGGAAGAGCCCTGGATAGGGACCATGGCTGCGCAAGTTCTGTCCCAGCTTCTCCACTTATTGAGCAGCCACTCTATACACTCGGGAAGCCTCATCTGCTAAATGAGGGTAAAATGGTGGTTGTTGAAGTGAGTTTTCTAACTTAGTACTTAGAGACAAAGTGCAATTATCAATCATTAATGAAACTTCTATTTACCTAGAAAACAAATGACCAGTGAACCAAAATGACTACATTTGGCTTTCGACTTGTTCAGCCATAGCTGATTTCTTGCTCACCTGCCTTGTGGTGCTATCAAATTCGGAAGTGCCTTGGACATGAAAAACAAATGTACAATTTTGTGACAGTTAGTTGTTTTTAATAGTCAACATTTTGGTTCTTTCAAAATTAGTTTATTATACTGTATTGGGCAAGTCTAAGAAATCTTAATTTCTGACCAATTTGGGATAAAAAAGACATCAGTCACCAAGGTCTCTCCGGCTGCCCTTCCCTCTCCCCACCTGGTGGCTTTTTGTTCCCTGTCAGCCCCCATTGCCTTACCATTGCTCTGTCCACACCAGTCTCTCTCTTCCCCATTTCTTCCATTTAGCACCCACCCCATCCTCCCTGAAACCCCCTGCAGTCCTGTCCCTGACAGGTCTGCAGCTTCTGCTTCCCCTGCTTCACTGGGCATCTTCCTTTGGTTGCCTGCTTGTGTGTTTTGTTCTCCCAAAAGGGGGAGCTCCTCTTTTAGGGCCGGGCCTCTTTCCTATGGCTTTCTGTCTTTAAAGCTCCCGAGAGGCCACTCTGTTGGACATCTGATTGCTTCCCTTGGAACACACTTCCCTGCTCTGCAGCGCCTCATTTTTCTGGCATTTTCAAGAGATGAAGTATTCCTCAGAGGTGACACCCCTATTAAACATGAACCTTCCTTCGCCCAACAGCAAAGCTTTTTTTAAAATGGAAAACTCGCTCAGATGGCGTGGCTCAGTGGTTGAGCATCTACCTATGAAGCAGGAGGTCACGGTTCCATTCCTGGTCAGGGCACATGCCTGGGTTTCGGGCTCCATCCCCTGTGTGGGGCATGCGGGAGGCAGCTGATCAATGATTCTCTCTCATCATTGATGTTTCTATCTCTCTCTCCCTCTCCCTTCCTCTCTGAAATCAATAAAGATATATTTTTTCAAAAATGGAAATCTCTCTAGAATGTTTTATGTATTTCACTTTAAAATTTGCTCCAACACCAGAGAGCCCCCCAATGTGTTGCCAGTGACTCCGGCTAAGAGTGCTCATGCCTTCCATAAAGACG